TTGCGRAAAAAATCAGGGTCATATTTGCAAAAAGAATGACGGTRGCACAATCCCTCCACAATCATCAAAGGTGGGCAACTGCGAAAGATGATGCATGYACWTGTGTTGGTATGGATTTGCCGAGAGATCAAGGACACGTGAAAGTTCGCCTTGACGAGGTGGAAGAAGTTCCCGCATTTATTAAGAATTCTCGGAACATAATGAAGGGACGATCGACTACAACGGAGGAGTTAAGGACATGCGTGTACCAGGCTGCAAAGGCATGGATTGYGAATGTCGACGGTAAGTGAGGGTTAAGTTGACGGACCAACATGTTACCATATGGCAACATCATGTATTTTTATATAAACCTATAATGAGTCCTYTTGAAAGTTAAAGTGACATGTAATCACACAYAGGTCAACACCGTCTCAACAYCTTTTTGCTATTGATGTGACCCTATATGAAGTTCACTAATATGAACTTCAAATTTAACGRGGGACAACTTCTTSTAAAAAGGTARTCCCGTGGATTCCATTTCTGGTCACATCTTTGAGAGATAGTCATCAAATTCAAGTAATCTAAGGAGTCTTMGTGTCTAATCAGTCTAAAAGTAAGTAAGAGTATGACGACCCTCCCTAGAGCCTTTATCCTACCACTTCTTCAAGTTCTAAGACTAGTTAATTTGGATTTARTCGAGCAGTCGGACGACTCACACTAGAGTCTCTTACTATCTTTCGAATACTACACTATTCCAATGTTCCGCAGGCTAACTTCAAACAAGTAGTAGGATGACCCTCACTCGAGTATCCTACTATTCGTTCGAGCGGATGACATATAAGCARCYARACAAACAAGCAATAAGATGACTCACATTGAAGTATCTTACCACATTTTCACTGTCAATTGGTTTAGATTCAAGCGRATAATAGGTTGACCTTCACTGGAGCAACCTATTATCTTTTGAATATGGCGCAGTCTGACTTAAGCAAGTGATAGGATAACCCACACTGAAGTATCCTATTATATGTTCGATGTCATACAAGCAGTTTGTAACTTATGAGTGAACAACCAGACATGACACACACATATATATAATATAGGTTAAACATATACAAGCAAGAAGTATGATAACTCGCACTAGAGTATTTCACTATCTGTGAATTCTCATGATTCCTACCCTCCTTTAACGCCAATCAAATCCGGGTTACACAAGTAATAGGGCGACCCACACCGGGGCCTTCTTTTATCAATTTGGCAGGTAGGCGAGTAGTAGAATGACTCACACTGGAGACACTCCACTATCCGTCTATCATAAGAATATCCATATAAATACTTAAACGTATATGTGTGAACAATTTATATAAAGATTTGCCCAATACCACATAAAGTACATATAACTTTAGGTCACACGAGTAGTAGGATAGCCTGCTCTGAAGCCTCTTACCACTCTTTTAGCATCAGGCAGACCACAGGTTCAAACAAGTGGTAGGGTAACTCACAGTGAAACAAGTGGTAGGGTACCTMACCACCCCTCAATGCTTAGTCGTTCTAGTCTTGAACACGTAGTGGAGCGACCCTCACTGGAGTACTCTACTACCTTCTAGACTTATTAGACKAAGATCAAACAAGTAATAGGATGACCCTCACGACAACCTYTTATTACCAGTTTGATTTCAAGCAAGTGATTCCTACAAATAACACACATATGCGCAAATAGTAGGATAACTCACACTGGAGCATCCTACTATATGTCYGGTATTGAACATTGTACGTACAAATGCATATAGTGGTAGGTCGAATTCCACTGAAGTCTRCATCCTACCACTCTTTCAKAACGAAGCAGTAGGGTAACTCACACTGGAGCACCTCACCACCTCTCAACACTTAGTTTTCCTAGTCTTGAATAGACAGTAGAGCGACCCTCCYTGGAGTACTCTACTACCCTTCATGACAGATCAGACTAAGTTCGAACAAGTAATAAGACGACCCTCACAGGAGTCTCCTACTACTGGTTCGATATGTACTCATCCAACATGGAGCAAGGCGACACATCGCCTACTTACATCATGAGTGAACCCTGTAGGCGGTTTGTTCCCACTTCCTGCTGAGCCAGAACGTCACGTCGCTATTGTAATAATTGACACATCACACTCGATCCGTAGCAATGTCAGGTGAGTATGCCCTCTTCCTTTTCTTACTCCACCCGCGATTTCCCTCCTTTGTCGCTTGCATCTTCCTCTAATCACTTGTCACCTCCTCCTGCATTTACTATTTCTTCACACCTCCTCATCTCCCTCCTCCCTCCTTTTTGTTCTTCTTTTTTTTCTCCTTCCTCTTTTTTTTCTTCAGATAGAGAGAGAGAGAGGTTACAGCGATGTCGGACGCATCGGTCTCGCAAGGGGACCCTGTCGGCCGCGTCACGCAGAATTTTGCAGGACTTCGTTGTAGAGCGCGGTTTGTTGCTCCGGCCGAGTGCGCCAGCCATACCTCTCGCGAGCCCCTATGACAGGACAGGGTCACGCGAGGCACTGCTTACCTCCACCCGYGGGAGCTGTCACCATCCCTTGGATGGGCGTATCCGYGCYGAGCTACCGAACCACGTGCGAAAGYTTTTCGTATGCAATCGCAGAGGTGGCCCGGYCGRGGGCGTTTCTCGTTCGCTGTAGCATAGGRGGTACGCGCGGTCAACGCCCCTCAATCARACCCGCACGCGAATCGACGCATTGGGGGGCTGAGGTCCCAAGCACGACTCGTCGTCGGTCGACTATGATGCATCCTACACACCASACGTTACTCCGCAACACACACACACRGAATGACACAAAACAAACAACACAATAAMACAACAACACTCCTAGTCCCTTCACTGTCCGRCCCATAACCTTTTAACATGGAAGTCGGTTAGSCGTCGCGMGTGAGACTTMAGATAAAATCACGCGGGTGCAGGGCTTTCTCATATCGACTAGCCATGCAAGCATACGCAAGCAGTYGTTATGATGGAGTACTGTGTAGTACCCAAAATCATGCGACCCTCGATGATCTCGCGGGTCACATTTCGACACTCAAGTGTCGGCTGACACGCGCCTTGAGGGGTTAATTTCTTGACGCTAGACAACCGTYAAGGCGGCTGATCAGCACACCCTCTTCTGCACACTGTGGAGAGTGGGTGGTATAAAAGTTCATACCTGTGGTGRCAGTYATCTCTTATTGCMTTGGAGACCAACTCCACCATCCAGGGYGTGGAGAGAACTCAAGGGGTTTGACTTTGACARCTGCCACGGACTATAACGTCCAACYATAAAATTCTAAAAAACAAAAAGGATGAAAGGRGAATCTCCCTTTTCTCTCAAAGTATAATTTGTTTAACCCTTGCACACGGTCACAATTGGTCGCGCGAACATTCAACRCGTATGTATGTACATATATATAGAAGGTTATAAATATGTGACGATCACTTCTCACAATCACAGTGGGAYTCCTCTCAGCCATATATACTTATGTGATCGTAGGCAGGCAAATCCAAAGTCCGAATCACTAAACATACYTGCAATCACATCAAAGATTCAACCAAAAGTCCATGCACTACACGGGGTCAACTTCAACCATTATTTGCACTCACACCGCTCGCTTTAGCCATACAAACCTCAACCTTTGTCCAACCTTCCAAAATAAAGCACTTTGTCCTTTTTAAATGGTCATTCAATAAAGTCCAGGTAAAAACCCAAAAGAAACATTTCAATGAACAAGGGCTAATGCCTTTAGGTTGAGTAGCAAGAGTGGATTAGAGCTGAGCCGGAAAACCGACCTGTTATCAAAAGATAACAGAAGAGTGACCTTTTATAGGTTCAGGCCTAACGATTTGATCCTTCAATCGAAAGTGTGAACATGCATCACAGTACAGGTCAGAAAGAACCAATACTACGTTTAATCCAAACGGAGGACACGCTCCACTTCGTAGCCTAACTAACTTCTTTCTCACCTTCCTTCAACTGATACCAAAAGTTATTGAGAATTTTGACAGCATCTCCCCTAGACAGGGTGGATTGCCAAATTCTTCCTAACATAAAATAATCTAACTCCCTAAATTCTACAAAATTTTGGCAGCGCTTCCCGTAGAAAAAGTGTTTTTTCAGAGTTTTCAGGAGTCCAAAAGTGACTTACTTTTTCACATCTGGAAAATTTGGCAACGCTTCCCGTAGGAACAAGAGACTGCCAAAATTTATACAAAGTTAAAAATGCAAAGACAAAGTACAACTATACTTGGGTCTAACTTCTGACACTTACTTGATAGTTAGAACCAGAGATAGTCTGCACGATCCCTTTTTTGAAGATGGTATCGTGAGTTATCACTAGTCCCAACCTCCAGTAAGGTCAGTCTTATCATATCCCAGGCTTCCCTCCCATCATCCATCTACCTATAGCTCCAACGCTCAACGAGCATCTAAAGCAACTAAGCTAACAAAAAATGCCTCAGACGAGTGTCTGCAACATGCATAAACAAACATCTCTCTCAGTACCACATCAATTTGATCCGGATAGTTCGTTAACCTCTCAATTTTTTTAACCCTTAGTAAACCCCATTTCCTATGGCATAGGATCAAGCCGCCCCAACTTAGGGATATACTCGACCTGCCTAAGTAAAACAAATAGGGTACGCACAACTAGACTGCCCCAACTTAGGGCTATGCCTAGCTTACATGACTGAATCGTATGTCCAGACTACCCCAACTTAGGGGTATGCCTGGCCCAACATAAACTGTGCACATAAAGCATATGACCAGACTACCCTAACTTAAAGGTACGTCTGACTTCTGCTTAACTGACGACATGAGGCATATGACTAGACTGTCCTAACTTAAGGGTATGCCTAGTCAGCCTTAAACGAAGTTTACGTAGGGCATAGGATTAGACTGCCCCAACTTAGGGGTATGCCTAACCTGCCAAAACATCAACGACAAGGGCATATCGCTAGGCCGCCCCAACTTAGGGGTACGCCTAGTTAGCCTAAACAGTTTAAGTTACATAAGGCAATACGACCAGACCGCCCTAACTTAAGGGTACGCCTGATCTGCCTTAACAAACACAAACAACGTATGACTAAGTCGCCCTAACTTAAGGGTACGCTTAGCCTCCGCAACGACAATTTGAAACAAACATAAATACTTTGGTACAAACTGTATAATTTTCTTTCTTCTTTAGGCAGACGGTCAGACCTACCCAACTTAGGGAGACATCCAACCGTGCCTTATATTTAAAAGGAAAAATAAAATAAGATTTATACTAACTCTTTTCTCCTTTATATTATCACGAGCATAAGACTTAACCGCCCTAACTTAAGGGTACGCTCAGTCTGCCCGAGTTACCTTCACTTTATATTCTTCATTTGTCTTTCTTCTCATTTTGTTCTACCTAACTTACTGACTGACTTTCCCAACTTGGGGTGCCCGGTCTGCCAGATAATACAAATTCGTATAATATATGTATCAAATTTTATACTTTGGTTGACTATTAAGTTCACAGCTCATGACTATGCCGCCCCAACTTAGGGGTACGCTTAGTCTTATGCCCTTGTCCCCCTCAGAAGAAAACACACACAGGACTGGGTCTACGCAACTTAGAATATCCCCAGCTCTGTTTTCAGCAACCCAAAAGAAACATCAGGATTCTGAGCCTTCCCAACTTAGGGTGTCCGTCCTCCTGTTCAGAAACCCTTAAAAGAAACAGCGATTGGTCCTTCCAACTTAGGATAGGCCCAGTCCTAAAAGGTCACACATTCAGCCCAACAAACAAAAATAAAACATAGCGTTGAACCCACTCAACTTAGAGGGATCCAGCCTTGGGTTGACCCGGTCAAACGCATGCAAAACGCCCTTCTTTCGCCTTCCCCCTTTTTCTTTTTTCTTAATTCAAACAGATTAAGTATCCGACTTTCATACAAATTCATTCCTTCCAGTTCACAGTAGTTCTGAAAAATAAGTACAAACAGAAATAAAGTAAAAAATAGATAGTCCTTGTCATAATCTCAGTCAACAAAAGGTAATAGATTTAGGGGAATGCGGGATCACACAAGTAAAACAAGATTATACCTGTCGGTTCCCTGCCTCCAGAACCCCGCCTGGGCTCCGGCAGAGCTCCCGCAATCGGTGGGGGGACCTCCCACAAGGTCTTGCTGCGGTCCTACGGGTTGCAATCCCGCCTGCCGCCTTCCTCTCGTAACTTCAGACTAGACTTAGATTGAGAAGGGCAGAAGGAGGGGTTTCATACGCTCGAGATACAAGAGAGGGACATACTCAACTCGCATGAGAAGGCCTTGGAATCTTAATGCGCCTGAGGGCCCCACAATGGCGGCCAATAACGCAGTAGATGTAGTCAGATCTCGACCTGAGTACAAAATAATGCTCGTCCGATGGTCCTCCAAACTGTAGTAATAGCCCCCTCTGTTACCAAACCCAATCACTTCTCAGTAGCGTCAGTCCAAAGTCGTAACCTATAGGGCTAAGCCCAAGCTTGGGACCAATAATCGCGAGTTAAGTTATAACTAGTCTCTATGTCGTCCGCAGGCCTACCAAAGCGCCCCAAGCCCATACCTTGGTCAGCAACCCCACCCATGGCCTCTGAGGCACAGTCACTCACCATACAAAGAGCTCGGCTCCGCTCACAACCGCCGTACACGCCACTCCTTCCCTCAAGCCCACACCTTTTCATTCCTAGCCGTAGAAAGCTCGAACTTTTATCTATGTCAATCTCCGTACTTGCGTACTCGCCATAAACAATTTCGCCGATGAAGAGAAAAAAAAATCATTTAGTCTTTCATTAAATCAAAATCAAAAGTTGGTCGGCAACTGTGTGGATCTTATAATTTAAAAAAAAAAAAATCTTGTGCCTATCAAAACTTGCGCACCCACGCACTTCCTACTTCCTTCAAACAGTCTCACATTCTTGGTCACAAAAGAAAATTCAGCCACGACTCGCACAACCTCCCTAACTTTCAAACCGAAAACCCTTTTCTGTCACTTGCTAAAACCAGGGCGGATACCCTTGTAAGGGTATTCGCGCCGACGGCGCGCATAGCGTCCGGGATCCGATCCGACATTTTTTGGGCAGACATTGATTGGACATCCGGTAAGGGACTACTTTTAGACTTCGATATCGCGATCTTGGTTTTCTCCCTCACCTCCTTCTTCGTCTCGCCTCTCCCCCCATCTCCCATTTGTGGTATCTTCCCCATGTATGTGGTCAAAGAGGGACCTTTCTTCTATGTATGCATGTTCCTCCTCCTTCTCTCACATGTGTGGTGTATGATGGGATGTCGTGTCAATCCTAGTCAGGTCAGGACTTATCTTTGAGTCTCCCCATGCGCTACTTAATGTCACTTTGTATGTATCGGGATGAAGATTGTTTGTTGATGTTCCACTGACATTGCATTTGTCCATTCAGTCCTTTTTATCACATTGCATATCCTTGGCTCCACACACATTGCCAACCGGGCATGTGTCACACACACACACACACACACACACACATTCAACCTCCTCCGATGAAACAGTTTGGCACAACCATGCTTTTTCTAAGAGTATAGCGGATATGACAACACACGCACACACACACATACATAGAGTTGACGTGATTGCACTCGACTACTTCACTCATAAGTATTGCTAACTCTGAGCGACGTGTTGAGTCCTTATTCATCAATAAGAAGCATCATGGGAAGACTGTCTTAGTTCATTCTTCTAAAGAGTCAGTGAAAGTCAGATGAAGCAGTCTGGCACAAATATGTTTTTTTTTTTGTTTTTTTTTTGGAGATGTGTATAACGAACATGGCAGCACACACACACGCACGTACACACATACACACATACACACATACACACATACACACAAACACACATACACACACACACGCACACGGACACCCACACACGCACACACACATACACACATACACACATACACACACACTTCGACAAACTTTCGAGGCTCAACGCCCAGCCTATAGTACGACTCCCGACATGAGTCACTTCACACTGATGAGGAATCTACGTGACGAAGACTGTCATATACTCCAGGTACATATCTCTTCTCTTCTTTTCTCTGTCTCTGTCTCTGTCTCTCTCTCTCTCTCTCTCTCTCTCTCTCTCTCTCTCTCTCTCTCTCTCTCTCTCTCTCTTCTTTGTATAGTCCCCAAACAACGACTCTCATTGAGGAACCACCGACAGCTTTTGCCCACAGTCGAATGCGATCGTCCACCCAAAACAATAATGTGAAGTGCATCGCCTCACCTCTGCACTGAGAAATGCGAGTCAAGAGAGAAGTGAGTGCACTTCACCTCCTTCAGGCTCAAACGGACCGAAAGCCTCTCCCTATACACGCAGGTGCAAAAGGAACACTCCCCCCCTGCTTTGGATCCACATGCGCCCTTTGCCACTGGCAACACCAATAGAAGTCGTCATAGCCTCATAGGTGAAACCCAGAAGACCAAGGACGATAGCCTTCGTAGCCAGAATCGCAACACAACACGGTTCATCACGATGTGCAGCATATCGAGACCACAGCAAGGGGTATACGACAGTCACAAGCTTGCTTTCCAACAAGTCGGGCGGACAATGGCCCCCGCCTCACGACGCTACTGGCGGAATATCACACATTCATGTAAGATTAAATTGTTTTAACAATAATAATAATAATAATAATAATAATAATAATAATCTAGGTTACCTCTCCGGACGTCCGAGACCCCCCAACGGTCCGGGTTGTCCGACCGGACCACCGGGCCGGTGGTCCGATGTGCGACGAATGTCCGGCCCCAGCGGAAAATAGGGGCCATGCTTGGAAGGGGCATCTGGGGGGTCTCAGGCCTCGCGGTGTAGTAAGAGGCCCTGCTGGACCTCGGTCCTTGCAGGCAGAGGCCAGCAGGGCCACAAAAAATCGAAATAGAAAAGGCCCGATGTGGGCTGTCCGATCGATCCGATCGACGGCCCAGATCGGGCCTGAATTCGAATTCGAATTCAGGTGGGAACCGCCCACTAGCGCCCGTCGCCGCCTCCGTGCTGCCCCCCCCCCCCCCCCCCCCCCCCCCCCCCCC